AGATAATGAGAGCATTTGAAGAATCAAATCTCAAAACATAAGGCCCATTAAAACGATTGGCGGCTGTGCCTGACGAACCACCAGCATCACCAGCAACAGTGATGCCTGTAGAGTTCCACGCACTTGTGAAATTTGTAGCTAAAAACAAATTAGTTTTACAATACAATTACTATCTACGATTTAAGACATCAGTCGGCTGCAAATAATCTACCGGTATGGAGTTACTGGACTCATAAAATACTATTTTAACAGAAATCCTACACAATATTTTTTCTTTTTTTTAAGAAAACTAAAGAATGGCGTTTTTTCGAATCCTGTCTGCTTATGAACTCTCTTCCTCCCTGATTTCGTCCGATCGAATTGAAATTTTTACTACAAATACTTCAGGACATATTCGAGAGGTAATTTGAAGTTTATCTAAAATAATTGTTTTATTTCTCTTTTATACGACAAAAATACATAGATGTTCCAAATCAAGAAGCAAGATCGAAAATGAAAATGATTACTTTTACTTCTGAAATATTTCCTTTATTTACACCCACACCCTCACAGTTGGTTGAATCGAGTCGTCAAAAATTAATCCTATTTTCAGCACTATTAGAAAATCGTCTCTAATGTTGTTTATCTAGATAGTAAGCATATTATATTTAAAAGTAAAACCTTTTCCTGTGACCATTGAAACAATCATCGTTTAAGCAACTACAAATAAAAAAGCATATTACTCACTCGATGTTGCCGCTGTGTTGAGCTTGATAAATTTCTGAACACGATGGTTATTGAAATCTCCAATGTACATATTCATTGCAGAATCGAATACAATACCTCTTGGTCCATTTAATTGCATGGCGCTACTACCAGCGACACCAGTTCCAACAATGGTGATGCCAGTTTGATTATTTGCACAAAACATTTGTACTCTATGGTTACCAGAGTCAACAATGAACATGTTCAAATAAGAATCAATTTTAATACCCATCGGTTGATTTAAGAGAGTAGAATTGGAACCTGATACACCCGGCGTACCAGCAACGAAAGTGCCTGAAGTAGCACCAAGTGTCCAACGTATTACTGAATGTCCACCGTTGTTTGTTATAAATAGATCATTGCTTATAGAGGGCAAATAATGAATACCCCATGGTCCGTTCAACGATGTGTTTTGATTATATTGCCCAGTTCCACCTGTGATAATAACGCCATTAGTACCGCTAGTTTCATTCGTCGAATGGCGTATAATTCGATGACAATTATAGTCAGCAATATACATATATGTTTCTGTAGCATCAAAAGTAAAATATCGTGGAGTATTGAATTGATTTAATGCAGAGCTAGCTGCTCCAGTTACGCCAGCGATAGTGACACCAATGTTTGAGCCATTACTGAACTTTTGTATTCGTTGATTGCTAGAATCACTTACATATATATTTCCAGATTTATCAACATAAATATCATTTGGATAATTGAGCTGAGAACTATTAGATCCTTGTGACTGATACAATCCAGCTGCGATTGTTACATTTACAGCATTATTTAATAGTTTCCATACAACGAAATTACTATTCTCATCCACAGAATATAGAGTACCATCTAAGCCAACGAATACACCCGAAGCTCCCATATTTGGTGGTGAACTGATTACAGTAATGCCTGTTGTATTCCAACCTAAATCACCGAATGCACCTAAAAATGATAGAAATTATAAAATATTAATACGCAAATTACTTAGCCTATACTATGGTTCTCATGTCTATTGATAAATATCAGAAATAAATATTACATGGTAGAAATTCAATTATTTTAAACAAAAGATTTAAATCGTTCATACTGCAAATACTACAATAGTTATCTATAGTTTCTTTTTACTCACATGGATTTGTAATCATAGTTGTCGTTGTCGTTGTGCTGCTAGTAGTTGATGTTGTCGCTGTCGTTGTGGTCGTGCT